GCCGTACGATCTTTGAACTCCCGACAGGTTCATCACAATTTCATCGGATCTCCGCGAAATGTCAGGAGAAGAGGGACGCCGCCGGTTTAATACCAGATCTCGCCGGATCTCGCGCCGTTGCGCACGATTCTTTCATGATACCTCCGGCCGAATTAAATATCAAGAGTGATATCCCGGCTGCCAGAAGCGAATCCATCGGAAGGTTAACAAACCCGCGACAAGCACGAGGTGGAAGCAAAAGAAACCGAGAAACGAGAGAAACGAATTGAAAGGACGCAATTATCGTTGGATGCGAGAAGGGCGCTCTCAGCCGTTCTTCTAGGGAAACGTACACGTAACTAGAGGGTCGACTTTCTGTTTCGTGGAGTTAATCGATTGAAGGAGCTCCAGCGAAAACGTTCGCCGGAGGCCCTTTTTCTACCCCAACGATACAGTCTTTTAACGTCTTTGCGTTTAACGTTTCACGTTGAAAATACAAGCTCCATCGTCACAAAGTCGGGGGCAAGTGCTTCTAACGAATTTCGCTGGATTTTTCAAGAGACTACCGGAGGCACACCGGGCTCATATTCATCCACTGGAGAACCCAGTTGCTCGCTGCTCGAATTTTCCACCCCTAGCCTCGGGGATAAATTATCGATCGAGGCGAATAGCTGGCGACGAGAAGCGTAAACACGAGCCTGGCGAAGGATCTATCGAAGCAAGCATTCGACCGTGTGTGTGTACACGACGTAGGTAGCATTGACGGGGATTGTGGAGCGTCCTGTCGAAACTGCTCGTCGTGAAACGATTCGCGCGTGCGATCAGCTGAAAAGGAGCCACGGCAAAGCCTGAATGGAGGCTGCAAAGAGGTACGTACGCCGCGTACTCGGCTAGCACTTCCTGCCTCCACCTTACTGCCAAGACTGGTCCAGAAATAGCGGAAGGGGGCAGAATTGTTTGAATTCGCCCACGTGTTGGCCGCGTGACGTCACTACGCCAGGCACGTAGGCGTAGCGAGCGAGAGGAACGACGAGAGAGGGCGGCGGCGAACCGAAGGTGAGGGTGAATGCGGAAAAAAGGGAAGCGGGAGGATGCGCGCGCGAGAGTCGGAAAAGTGGATGGGAAAGAATGGTCGAGGCGTGCTGGAAAAGATACTGCGAGAAAGACGCCTCGAACGTCGTGTAATTAAGTATTTTATGTTCGAGAGTGGTCGAGTTGATAGTCCGGGGATTGTGGCACGAACTTTGAACTTAATCTTCTTTCGCTGAAGTATCGATTCGGGATGGGGTGACAGGTTCGGATAGGAGTACCTTGGAGTCGGACACGGAAGGAACACTGTATTTTGCTGGTTGATAACTGAAAATACAGAGAGAAGTTGTTGAACGAAAAGTAGCGGTATGTGAATTCGAAAGAAACGAGAACTTTCGAACGTGTGAGTGATGCAAGTGAAGAGAAAAAGTGACGGGAGAAGAGGGACAAACAGTGAGAAAATAAAAAAGAGAAAATGAAAGCACGAAATACGGTGTAAAAGACTGTGAAAATGGGTGAGTGTAAGGGGAGAGACAGGCGAGAGGTGGAAAGGTACAACGAAAGGGAAGAGAGAGAGAGAGGGGAAAGCTGGGAGGGGTGTAAGATAGCCAAGAATCAATGCAACGACGAGACCGAGAGGGCAGAACCCGAGAATTCCCGCAGGATACCGTACGATATGCCGCGATACACGATCGTGGAGATCCGATCAAGGATTTAACGACTAGGAGGATAGCTGGGATGCCGATCGCGCGTCCACACGTATCCCACGGTCAACTCGATACTCGGCTAGAGAATTGGAAAAACTGGAGGAAAATTCGCCGGCAAGGATTTTTTCGCTTGATACGCTCGCCGATGGCAGGAAAAAGAAACGAGCTTAACCCTGGCATTTCCTCCTTCTTCCTACAGGAGCACAGACGTTGACCATCGCAACGACGGAGAATTGAGTGTATCAGGACTATCCGATCAAATTTCCAAACGAACTAGAAAATTCCTTTGCTAGAACAGCGATATGTTATTTAAATTGCAATGGAAATGATGTAGATTATGTTAAAAGAAAAGAATCATTCGTCGAAATAAACTGGGTTTGCGACAGACCTTTTTCTCGTTTAGTATCAAGTAGCGTGATATCGAGGAACAATGTCACGACAAGAGAGAACGAAAGAAAGGACACAAAAAAAAAAGAAAAAAAAAGAATAGAAAAGATTCGAGTCATAATGATCGAGAACATTTCATTGGCGCTGTCGTGATCGTGTGTGTTGGAAGCATACTCTGACGAGTTCTATCTTTCGAATTTTCAAAAGGGCTGGAAAATTCATTTCCATCGGCTGGTCGCGCTGTGAAGAATAAATATCAGGCAGCGTAGCGTTGAAGAACAGTATCGAAAGGAGAGAACGAGAGAGAGAGAGAGAGAGAGAGAGAGAAGGAAAGAAAGACAGACGGATACCCGGGAAGCTCGAGTGCACGTGTGTGTATGCTCGAGTGTGTGTGTGTGTGTGTGTGTGTGTGTGTGTGTGTGTGTGTGTGTGTTACTAGCCCACGCGAGGCTTTTCCCTCCTCCGACCGATGCGCACCTCGATGAATCGGTTCACAGTTCACCGATCCCCGTCACTAATCAACTGTGAGCCACATATACGCGTATTCTCTTTCCCTCTGGCTGGGCGCTTGTCCGCTCTTGGAAACCAGCTCGAATGCGTCGCATAAAAGCGAGCGCGCCGGTGTCGAGTGTTCTCTCCGTGAACACGACGAGGGAACGCGTGCACTAGAACGCGGGCCGAGCCCAGGGGGGGGGGAGATCTCCACAGAGCATCGGTAACCTAAATTTACTCATTAGCCAAGGAGGAACCCGGTTACGCTCCCCGCTGCGCGCGGGCGCGCGCACCTACCGGCTTCACAATAATGCGGTATCGCTTTTCATCTGCCACTCCATTCGTGCCGATTCGCCTGCCACCGGAGCAGACCTACTTTCCTATTTCAAATATTTCATTTGCCCCGATATTCTTCTTCTCCCCCCCCCCCTCCTCCTCTCTCCCCCTGTTCATCACGCTCACCAACGGGATGGACCAACGGAGAACCACTGCCGCTCTGTGCACATCGTGTTCCCTCTGCTATCGATTCTCTTTTTTTTTCTTTTTTCCTTTTTCTTTTTTTTTTCTTCTTTCTTTTTTTTTTTCTTCTACCCTCGCGTCTGAGAGACTTTACACACAGAGGAATTACATCAAGGATTTTCGGCGGAACGTTTCTCGTGTTCTTTTCTAGATTTCTAGCTTCCCCTAGCTCGTTCCAGTTTTCCAGTTTTCGACTGACCCGCGAGAAGAACCGCTGCTCTATATTCGTTCACACCCTCGATCCATCTCTCGCTTTGCTTTTGACCGTTTCAACCCTCGAGTGGTACGGCAGTTCCCCGTCGTAACTAACTACAGCGATTCGCACTAGGTTAATAAAACTTGGCGTATCCGCGAAGTTTCAAAATTAAATAATCGAACCCTCGAGGACGGAGTTATCACTCGTCCCTTCCCCCGTGTTCCTCCAAATGAATCGACGGAGAACCCCTGCCTGACGCCATCATTCTCACTCCTATCAATAATTCTTTTCTTTCTCCTCTTTCGATTCGCGTTCAAGAGGCAGAATTATCTCAAGGATTTCGTAAATCCTCCTTTCGCGAATCGGTGAACGCGCGCGTGTATAGAAAACTGATTGATTCCGGCCTCGTACGACCGAGCGGGCGGAACGTGCCGCTTCTTTCTCAAGCTGAGGCTGCGGCTCTGGAGCGTTTTAATCGCTTTGTAAACAGACGCGTACGCGTACGTTACGGGGAGGGGCTTTTTAGACTGCATGAGCATCGTGGATCGGTCGATTACACTTTCCTTCGGTCGGCTCGCCTGTAAATATCGCGCCGATGATACAGGTGCACACATCCTCCGTAAACCAATTATCCACTGACACGGAAAGAGAGCCTGTGGCTCTCTCTCCTCCGTGCGCCGTGTTTCAAGGGCAAAGCTGACCCTCCCGACCAGCTCTCACCCTTCTCGAAATCGTCTCTCCCCGTCGCACAGCCGCGGACGGGTCATCAATTTCGATGGTGGATTCGACGTTTAGCAACGTGTCGCTGTTGAATTGTACGATCCGGCATCACCCGCGGGGGACGTGACATCTCCGAAAGAGTAACGCGAAAACGAACATTCGATTGAAAACTCGAAGAAGCAACAGAGAATGACGATGAATAATCTCAGGATAAACAAAGAGCTGAGATCTAAAATCTACAGTTCAGAATTCTCGATCAATTCTGGCAATCGTATTAGTCGAGCGATTCGAATGAGGTAAACGTTTGTTCAGTAACACGTGGTCGCGAAAGGAAGTTCAAAAGGAATCCCTTCGTAGCATTTTACTTGGTTACGGTTCATGAAAAACTCGAGCAACTGATAAACTGTTACCTTTCCTGAACCAGGAAGTGTCCCGCCGCTCATCCCACCAGTCGGATTTAACGTAAGCTCTGTCAACCTTTATGCACGCTCGTTTGAATCATCGAAGCTTGATCCGTTTCCGTTTTAACCGGATCATTACCGTTATTTATACAGAGGAGACGAGCGGGATCCATTGATTTTATTGGAAATTCGTTAGGAAAATGTCACCTCCTCCGCGCGCGCCGTCGTGCTCGATCTTTGTCCAAAGCTGTTTTCCTTGAAATCCGCGACGCGATTTCGCGTCGATTTCTTTTTTTTTTTTTCTTAAAAAGGAAAACTGTGCCCGATGCGAATTAATTAAACTCGAACTCGAACTCGCTGAAGTCGATTTCTTCTTTTTTTTTTTGCGAGATTCGCTCGATACGAAAAATCATAGTAACGTGTCGGAGAAGAAGGTAGTAATCGATATAGTAATCGATCGGTCGTTACGACCGCTCGTGAACCGTACGCGAAATGAAAGCACGAAAATCTCGTTCTCGATTGTCGGCGGAAAGAAGAAACAAGAGCGAAAGATATCGAGGATCGACTCACCCTTCTCGGACTCGTCAGGCTCGTCGCTAGCACACTCGGGTGTGCTCCGTTCTTCCTCGCTGCTGCTGAAGCTCCTCTGTGGCTGAAGACCACCCTGACCACCTACCGGTTGCTGTGGGTGCGCGCTCTGCGTTTGATGCACCGAGTGTTGCTGCGGGGGATGCACCGCGCTTCGTGGTGGGCCGGCTTCTACCGTTGGTTGACCATATGTCATCGCGAGGTCCGTGTTTTGATCCTGGAAAACGCGACGAGAGAGACTCGCTCAGACACGGGGGGAACTCGAACGCAGGGGGAAAGTCCATCGAACACCAAGTATGTCGCAAGGCCAAGTTGTACAAGTAACAATTATACGTAGTAACAGAACGACAGTAAAGTGATAGTAAAAGTAAGGGTAAAGACAGCGCAGAAGCAATAGAATGACAGTATGAGATGAAGTATGAAGCGAAGAGAGGAAGGTGAAAGTGAAAATAGAACAGTCGGTCCTGAACGGGGGTGGGGGGGGAGGGCAGGGAGAGAAATAGACGCGCGTTTCTCAATCGGCTGATAGTAAAACACGGGGTGACGAAGCACGAGGAGGAAGTAGCATAGATAGACGAGGATAAAAGCACAGACATCGAAACTTTTTTTTTCTCCCGGTTCCCCTTCGATAACTCTGTTCCACTGGATCTGTTCGTGTGGCTGGGTTCACGTTTTCGAGAGCTACGTAAGAATATCGTTAGCGGTCCTCTCCTACGCGCTCGCAGCTCGTACACGGTGTGCATAACTTGTTGAATGTTTAATTTCCCAAGTCCCTCTTTCTCTCTCTCTCTCTCTCTCTCTCTCTCTCTGTCTCTCTCTATCTCTTTTTCTTTCTCTATCACGCTCGTTCTCTTTCCGTCTCATTCGAGCACATCGAGAGAGAAACCCGTTCGTCATCGTCACGTTCGATCCAGGCTGAACCAATCGAGAGAACACGATCCTCACTGACTCACCGGGTAGATCGGTCGTTGTCTCTGGTAGTTCTGTTGTTTCATGAGACCGTCGATCTCGCCTGTGTACAGATTCGGGTCATCCTCCGCGTACGCGTCCGGATGCCTGGGCGGTTGCTGCTGCGTCTGATGCGACGGTGCTACGTGGGGCGTCGGCAGGCTTCTCGAGTGAGGCGAAACGGACATGTCCACTCCGCTATCGCTCGTCGGCAGTCGACGCCCTGGGCCCTGCAATCGCCAGCAGAAAATCCGCCATTTTTTCGTGCCGCAATCGGCGCACCCGCGATTTCGATTCGTCAAACGTATAGGTGGTTGCAGTGGTGGATGCAAACAGTGCGGTTTTTTGTTGCGTTCTTGTTTGATCATGTCAGCATGTGGTGGCGGTTATGCAGCCCTCGGCTGTGTCTTTGGACAATTTATCGTTAATAGTGTCTTTAAAGATTCAGGCTCGGGTCAGTTATTTCCGGACAATTTGCCGATTACTATCACGCCACGATATCCATCACGTCCGATACATCAATTTTATCAATATCAACTGTTAACTGGTATTGGATAACGTGACAATTTAGCCTGTCACCGAATCATTTAAATTCGTTTAATCCAATTCTTACCGCCGAAATGAATCGCCCAACGTTAATTTTTCATCGTTTCAATTTTTAATTTCGATCCTTCCCTCCCCTAATGTTTAGCTCTAGTTAATTTCTACAATCGTCTGAGATTTCGAATAAACTGTACAAAGACGCAGCAGCAATGGTCAGTGACAATGAGCACAGTGAGACATACGGTGAGATATACCAAAATGGCATTGCCTTGCTTCGACCGCGAGTTCGCTTAGCTAAAAGTGTATTATTATTTATTTTTATTTTTTTTTTTTTTTTTACAATTGTTCTTGTCGCTGTTGTTGTTGCAGCAGCAGCAGGTTGTTATTGCAGCTATTGAAATATTTGTTGTTATTGTTATTGTTGTACATCCAGAGGCAACAGTGCGTGCACGAGCGGTATTTAATGACCGCGCGGGGAAAAAGCTGATTTCCCCCGCGATCGAACGAGTTAAATGAATGTAGTAAATCGTACTTGCTCTTGCTGAGAGTACTGTCTTCTGAGCAAGCTTCCGCCCCTTAGTAACAATGGTAAATTCTCCTTTTCAGCCGCGCTGTGCGCTCTCTCCAGTTTCGGTCTTTTATCCTGAGTTTGGTCCACGAGTCCCGGAGGACCACCCACCTGCATTTCCTGCATCCGTCGCAGCATCGCGTTGTCCCCGGCGCTCAGGCCACCCTTCGTTATCCATTGTCCGGTCTTCGACAGCAGTTCTTGCTTCTTGCGACAGAGGATGCACACCCATATTACCTGCAATCAGACCAAATCGCATGCACATCGATCTCGTTCTTCAATCTCGCGGTCGCGCTTGTTTCTTTATTTCCTTGTTTACAAGGGATGAAAATCGCTTGGCGACGAAAACGACGACGTGTAGCAAAGACAGATGGCGCAACCGGAAAGTGAAGCGAGCTGAAGCGAACTGAAAGTCGAGTTAACCGAAAGGTGAGAAATAGAGAGCAAAATCTATTTGTAGAATGTATCAAACGATGGAATTCAAGCGTGTCACGTTGAAAGATTTAATTCTTTCTAAAGCTTAATTTAATTTCATTCAAATTACCCTGAATGCGGCGTGTCCGGTAACGTTTAAGAATTTATATAAAAATGATCGAAACGGTTCGAATCGAAAAAAGTTCAGCGTTCAACTACAGTGGAAGGGGACGGTATATTTTTGCAAATAAATCATTAAGAATTTAATCTGCTTCCCGTGCAAGAGTCGCCGTGCAAGAAAACCACGACAGAAGATAGAAACCACTGTAACTCGAGGATTCTCAGCCGTGTTCCCTCGACGATTCAAGTCGAGCCGAGCCTCGACTGTAAATAATTTCGATAATAACGTCTCTCCTCCTCCTTCCTCTCGCCATTCGAAGAACCATCGATTCTTTAAATCCCTGAAAGCATCGGGGGTCTTCAAGGATCGTCTTCGTCGATCGTCTCCAAACGTTTCTTTCTCGTTTGATCTCATCGAACGCGTTCGATCGCCGGAGAGAGAGGAGGAGGGGGGTTGTAACTAAAATAATCCGTGACAGCGCGACACACAGAGATTGAAGCGAGAGAAGAAGTGGCCGAGGAGAGGGAAAGAGTCCTGGAACTGATCGATCCAGGTCACCGCTTGTAGCGAGGATATTAATAGGAAATTATCTATAGGAAGTCGACCAGTTACGATGCTAATTGAAACGTGTAAAGCGGCTGGCGCGAGCTTTCGATTTTGCAATCCGTGAAAGAGAAAAGAAACGAAACGGAAAGGAAAAAAAGAACGGAAAAAGAACGCGAGAGTGGCGCTGGGTTAAGTTTGCTCGAAACGATGAAACAACGGATTCGCAGCGGGGAACACACCCTCTCGCGCGCTCGCCTGCTCGCTCGAGAGTATTTGTCGAGCGAGGCTGGCGAAGTGTGGACGGGGGATGGGAGTGAAAGAATAGCGTTAAAAATACACGATGTGCCCGGAGGGGAGAGTGGCAAGATGCTCGTGTCCAAAGGCGTTGTATATTCGCTGGCAGTTTTCGCGACAAACTGGGAAACTCGGCGACGCTCGCCGCGGCCACAGCAGAAATTATTGTAAAATCCCCTTTAACGAAGTCTGCGACTTCTTCGCCTCGGGCGAAATTCTTATGCAAATCCGACGGAGCTCCGAGTAACGTTAAATTAAATCAAGCGGATCCGGCGCCGATGGGGGACAGCGCTCGTAAGAGCGAACAATCTGAAAATATCCACGCTTCTACTATAGGCTATGCTACAGAGCTGATATAGCGTTTCAGAGACGTTTATATCGGGTTACATCGGGTATAATTTGGATTGCGTATGATTAGTCTCACGATAGTTCGAATTGACTCAAAATGATGTCACGATGCAATTTGGTTTCATAGTACGGATGTGATATACCGCGGATTTTCATAGTTTTATCTTGGAGCTACTTAATGATTTTGTCTAATTTTGAAATTAAAACTTTCGCTACATAGTGACGTCTCTGTTTGAAGATTTATGTCTATGATTCAGAGATGATAGACCGCGAATTTTCATATTTTTATCTTGTTGCTACTTAATGATTCTGTCTAATTTTAAACTGAAATTTCCGCTACATATTGACATCTCCACTTTCAATTTATAATTTCTAATACTACAGATGAAGATTTCTCATTTCGACGTAAATTAAAACTAGAATTGAACGTCCAGTCAAAGGTTTAAAAACCTGGACCGTTCTCATTGAAACGATAACAGGAATAAAAAGATGAAAAATGTCGGGCAACGAAATCAAGGGGTCAGATTTCCTACAAGACTCGCAGCGGAACGAAAACATTTCCAACGACAACCACATACGCTGTTCTTCGTTTTCTTCTTCGCTTCTTCGCGAAATAATCGGAGCAATCCTCGGGAACGCACAACGCGAATGTGCGTGAAGGAGTTACGTAATGGCGAAAAATAAGGAAAACGTAGAATCGAGGAACGTTCGTCGAGACGAAAAGCGCATTCTTCGGCCGGCGACCATTCACCGCCTGGTACAATGAACGAAAGGCTAATAATTAGCGGGCTAGCGCGACGTTGGCGGCGCGGTGGAACGTTTTGAAGGATGAATAGGCGGGCGGAATACTCCATCAAGATAAAGCGTGATGGATGGACCATTTAGAAGCAAACCATAAAACAATGCCCATGCCGGCTCCCATCGATAACACTTTCCATGCCCATTCACGCATATTATTGTACGAACTATAATGGCGGCGAGCAACGTCCCGCAAGGACACCGGGCCGAGCTCTCTCTTGAATTACGATCGTCCCGACGCCGGGATGAAAATACGCGCGCGAGTTTTTACTCGATCGAACAATTTAACGTCTACGGTATGATTTATGCTTTAACACGACTGGTAAAGATAAAAATTCCTGAGAACTTGGAACTGCGAGTATTTCAAAGTCTTTTGCCACCTCTCTGCAGAATTCACCCAGAATTTCGTTTGATTGACAGAAGAAGAGGACGGTTATGATATCGTGCTTCTTCTTACAAATTCTCAAATCTAAAATGATATTTATGTTAGTAAATTGTTAGAAGTAAGTCGATCGATATTTTTTTATAATGGTGTATTTTGGTGTACTGCAATGGCGAAGCGATAGATATACTTTCAAAATGTGAGTGTGTAAAAATTAGAGAAGAGACAAGATCGTGAGAATTTGGAAGTGCGAGCGTTTCAGAGTCTTTTAGCCTCTGCAGCCAGAATTTTGTTTGGTTACAGAAGAGAGAGATATTAATATCGTGGCTTTTCTGCGGTTTCTAAAATCCAATATCTGGCTGATAGTAAATTGTTAGAAATAAGACATTCGATATCTACGTAATAGCGTGTTGATGAAACTACAATTTTCAAAATGTGAATCTACGGATAACTTTCACGTCGCGTGAATAAGTGACAATATAATTTCAGAATTTGAGGAGATATAATTGTATAGGTTAAATAAAAAATTGGTTTATTAGTTGGATAAAAAATTGCGAGTCTTGAGAACTTGAAATTGCGAGTGTTTCACAGTCTTTTAACCCTCTACAGCCAGAATTTCATTTGTTTACGCAAAAGAAGAAAATTATTAGTCACAGCGGTTCTCAAATCTAAAATATGGCTGCTAATAAATCGTTAGGATAGAAGTCACGTTGCTGCAATAGCGAAGCTATAACATTATTTTCAAAATATGAATGCATGGATGTACGAATAACTTTCACGTTATTACAATGCTACAACGAACAGATGTCTCTTTTGTTATTCGCGACTATACAGCAACAATACAGTAAATAGAATTTCAGAATTTGAGGAAACGTAGTTGTTATTCTTCGTGACGACAAGCCACGGGGCACCGTTTTATTGAAAATAATAGTGGGCTTACGCTATTATGACTCCCACCCTTGCAATTCGTACAGTTCCCAGGAACTTGTCATCGTTAATTATCATCCTACTCGCGAGATAATCATACTCGATGAGAATGAGGCCAAGGCGGGAGATTACGCTTCGTGTAATCTTTCCTAGTCGTTCGTTTGCACAACCAGCCTCTTTGCAAATTTGTATATCGTTAACCGTGTTCAGCTTTGCTTCGATCAGAGCAGAGACCTCGATGGAAACGAATTTGCCTGAAGAACGAGGCGAATCGATCCCGAAGAATTATGACAGACGCGATCTCGTGCATATTCTTCTCGTTCATTTCACTCTTGAAAATTTGTACATCATTAAATATACGATCGAGATGAAATTTCATGGAGACGAGTTCCTCCAAGATAAAGAAAAGTGACGGCAGGAATTATTACGGTACGGGTGATTCTTGTATTATCTTTTTGTTCGTTTTCTTCTTCTTTCGATCCACGCTCGAAAATTTGCGCGTCGTTAACGGTACAATTCTGCTTGGTGGAAATAAAATTTGATGAGAGAACGAGGTCGCTTGAAACGAAAGGAAAACGATCGCGGGAATTTTTCTCTAAGAGATTAGTTTCGCCAAAAGGAAGGAGAGGAAGATAGACAGAGAGAGAGAGAGAGAGAGAGAGAGAGAGAGAGAGAGAGAGAGAGAATGGTCCAGGGACGCCACAATTCAGAAGTGAATATCGCGATGAATCGATACACGGTCGGCCACGCAGAGCGTTTGCACAATTATTGTTGTCCATTATCGTTATTCGATGAATCCAATCCCGACTCCGCGAGCCCATATTCCGCTAATCCGCGAGCCGAGGACGCTGCTGGAAATGAAAACGTGTTTGCCCCTGTTAGGCGACGCGATTGCGCCTCGTTCGGGGGAGACGTTCTGCCTGTTTTCCTCGTCGAGAGGCAATCAAGCCACTGGAGAGCTTTGGCACCGAGAGTTTGAACAATTTTCTCGAAAAGGAAGTTTCGATTATATTTCTTCATTTTTCTCTCTCTCAATATCTACGAGCGAGGGTGAGAAACATTTAAGGAAAGTTGATGGCGAGACGTCTGCGAATTAATTTCACAAAGTATCGGCACGTTAGATTGTCTTGTCTCGATTTTTCCAAGCATCGAGCATTTAACGATGAGAACTGAAAAATCCAAAAGTATCGACGAAACCTTTCATCGCACATGTTGCAACAAGTGTTTCAAACACTTACTTGATCGTAAAAAATTTGCGAATATTAATATTGAATCATAACAAAATATTAGAAATATTATTAATATTATAAATATAACAAATTACAATAATTTTCTTAAATTTCTAAGAGTATCCAAGTGTAACGAACGTGTTTGTTTCGTTCAGTTAAACGTTTCGAAGGGAGAAAT